GTGATCTCATACTCTTCCTTGCAATCAGACTCTTGGATCAGCACGGACGTGGTTGAGCGTTACAATGGTCTCTAGATTATTTCCTGTTAGTATATAAAAATGTTTGAGGGGATGACTCGTCAGCAAACGCTCTCAACCGGGTGCGTGGTTTCGTCCAGTCACTTTCTTATGACCTGAGTTGGTGCAACAATACAAGCACTTCTTATTTCTGCCGCCTTATTTCTTGGTATGTGGAAACAATTCAGTTGTGAAGGTGCCCTTTTGACATAAGTTTTCGCTAGCTAAAAAGTTCCGTTTCAGGATGAACAGTAAAGCAGGACGAACTGAAGAAAGACGGAATAAAGGTTGGCAAGTTACTTCTTCCGTTTTTCGTATTTCAGTCAGCGTTAGGAAAATGGGGAGATAAAAAGAGAGATAGGCCTTATTTTATTATTCCAATATTTCCAGCGAAAATGTCCTGCATTTTCCGTGGATAAAAATGGGTACGAAAAAAGAAAACATAACGATGCCCAATGGTCAAAAACTGCTACTGTCGACTTTATTAACAGAAGTCGCTGAATGAGTTGCAAAATTTGCGCCAGATTTTATTTTCTTCAAAGTTTTCCTGGCAGAAAAGTGGTGGCGCAATTTCAAAGGCTTGCCGCACATTGGACAAAATTAACCTTCCCTGATTGAAGATCAACAGAAGATGAGGTGAACTTCTGATGGCACTTGGCAAAGCGACTTATAAATCGCCAGCCAGCCTAAAGAACGCTAAAAGCACATATAGTCCGTCCTGAACCGCGGTTACGGTGGTCCTCACTGGGGAGCGATAAGAACCACATAGGCAGTAGAAAAAAACTCAAGATGCTCGTTTCTCGTGAAAATTTATTTTAAAAGCATTGGTCACTGGGTCCTAGACTCACGGTTTTTCAGCCACAGGAGTTGAAAAACCTGGGGTTGGGTATGGTTGGCTGGTGATGGCTAACAAGTCAAAACTGAGCGTTCCACTATCCCATGTCCTTGTTGTTAATCTTACTATCCTTACTAAAAAGATGTATGAGTATGAATACACACCGAGGCGGATGCGGACAACGAGCGCAGGTTTCGAATTTGAAAGGTGCCTAAATAGACAGGACAACTCATAAAAACAGATGGTTTCGAAGATGCAAGTCGTTTAATTTGCTGTACAGTGGCGTCTCTCTTTTTAGCAAGATTCTTCACGCCTACTCGCGATGAAACCAGTAGTAATTTCGAGTGTAGAGTTAGGAGCATTGGGTAGAAGAGTTGGCGGATGGAATACCGACAATAGCGAGGGAGAATGTAGGGTTTTTCCCAGCCTATTTGTTGCAGATAGCTAGTTATGACTCGCCCCCGCGTGCGTGCCTGAGGTTTGAATCCAAGTTAATTGGTCATCCAACTTTTAAATCAAGCATGGCTTGGGAGGGAGTCAACTGGTAGAATAACTCGACGGTCGTGATAAATACCGTTTGTGTGTACGTGTAGTTATTTTTGAAGCACTGAGAGCCAGGTTCAATGGCTCCTATTTAGAATTGCTATGGCATTCTCACGAACATGAAATCCTTGGTCCCCTTATTCAAAAACATGATTGCCTCCGTTGTGGGCGCTGATGCGAGCCCCAATCAGAATGAAATTATAGTTTAAGCGGTTTTTTAATTTTTATTGATTGTAGGTATCTGTATGAATTTCCTTCTGTATACTTGAAAATACTAAGTTTGATTCCGAAAGTTGCTTTAATTAATTTCTGCTTATGCATGCATGAATAAGAATGTTTTTGTCTATCCTTCTATGTTTGCTTGTGTACATGCATTTACCTCAACGAAATCACAAAACACTCTTAAGTATCTATTTTATCCGAACATTATCGATGCGGTTAGTTAGAAATATTTTCAGCTATAATAAATCCTCTAGTAAATTTATTGACTTGAGACCATATAGAGTACCCTTTTCACGACATCGTGTAAGCAACATTTTCCGCTTGCAGCAATTTTTAAAACATTTGGTCAGTGTCCCATGAGTTTCTTTGCATAGTGTGCCTATGCACTTAGCACGTGCGGGTTGACTTCCACAATCCTTTGCTCTGTATTGGTTGGCGGTATTTTCGAAAATGTTCCCTTATCAATCGCTTCTATTCTCTTTTTAATCAATACAGGATTTCATAAAGGTCAATGGTAAGAATATATCAGAAAAGCCTGTCCTCTTTACAAATGGCCGCCTTTACTATCTCGAGGACCGTTTGGATTATATTCAAGTAAGTCCTTTCGGAGACTGTAATGTTTTTGACGGCCTTAGAAATTGATTTTTCTTATTCAAGAATCTTAAGTGCATTAAAAATTATATGCATCAAACAAAAAAGTGGTTCTGGTCTTTACTGAAAGCGTTGTAAAGATAGTAATCGAACCTCTACTACTACTAACGAAGACAAGGTGGGCCGTAATTACCACCCCTGTCGCATTCACTATCTTAAACTGGCCAAGTTGCAAGCCCACTTCGGAAGCACTGGAGATATTAGCTCTACTTCATTTCACCTAACCGTTGATTCACGGGTCCTGTACTGATAACTGCGGTCGGGAACACTCAGCATCATGTAGATGTTAGGTTCACCAACATTCCCTGGATGCGAAACTTAGTTCGACCCTTCAATTTCGCTTTAAATCTCCGGTTTTGCTCAATCGCTGGCGTTTATATGGGGGAAAAGTCCCCAAGAGCGAATATGAAGCTCAAAGGTGTTCACCTATCTTTCTCTTAATAAAGCTGAAATGAAGTGGAATAATCGACATGCCAGAAGGTCTAATCGCATTCCCTCCTAGGGGGAGATTAAGTAGGCAAATTCACTCTCAGAATACTCAGATCGGTTGCGTACTTTTAGTCATGTAACAATAAATTTGAAAAAAGTTCATTCCTTGTAACCTGACTGAAAGACTGCAAGAAATGAATGCACTATTTGCCAGGAACAAGATATTTTTTCTGTATCTTACTGAGTCCCTATTACCGGTTAGCTTTTGTTTGAATACTCAGTATATAGTTCGATATAACGTATAGTAATATATGTTACCTTTGAATATATACTATTGAAAACGGAGCTGATAAGATATGACTTCCATGCGAATGAGTAGGGCCTGTAAAATGTGCCTAAGCTGAGGAAATGCATTGGAACCTTCCTATCATATAAAACCAGATATTGCCATTGCCCGGGCTTGACTGGCTCCTGACCAAGCGAAAAGCTGCCACTTTAGTACCGTTTCTATTTTCAAATAAAAACTATCCTAGAGACTCTTTGCTCCTGTTGGCTACCTCATCTCCGAAAAATATGTCATTTTCTTAACTCCTGCTATGCTTATCCTATTTTTTTTCCAATGCGAAGGCAGTTCGGGCTTCAATAGTTTGTTACCCACGCTAAGCTTAATGGCCGTTCAACAAAATTCGAAGCGTTCATTAATGTGTGGGATACGATGTGGTCCGGCCAGATAATAGGCGATAGAACGTATCCCAATATAAGCTTGAAGATATGATAAGGCGTGAAAGGCCAGATTGTTATAGATAATTTAATGTAGTGTTGAATGAGTAGAATATAAGTAATGAGTAAGTGACTCCCAGAGGAGTGCACTCCAGCCATGCGTGGACCGGAGTCCAGAGTCGCATTCCGGTGGGTGTAGTCGCCGGGTCTGGAGGTCTGCAAT